TAGGAGGCAGGACGACCAACCAGGAAGTAGGAGGCAGGAGATGGAGGGACCAACCAGGAAGTAGGAGGCAGGAGGATTAACCAGGAATTAGGAGACAGGAGGATTAACCAGGAAGTAGGAGGCAGGAAGAGGGAGGGACCAACCAGGAAGTAGGAGGCAGGAAGAGGGAGGGACCAACCAGGAAGTAGGAGGCAGGAAGAGACCAACCAGGAAGTAGGAGGCAGGAAGAGGGAGGGACCAACCAGGAAGTAGGAGGCAGGAAAAGGGAGGGAACAACCAGGAAGTAGGAGGCAGGAGAGGGAAGAATAAAACCAGGAAGTAGGAGGCAGGAGGACCAACCAGGAAGTAAGAGGCAGGAAGAGGGAAGGACCAACCAGGAAGTAGAAGGCAGGAGAGGGAAGAATAAAACCAGGAAGTAGGAAGCAGGAACAGACCAACCAGGAAGTAGGAGGCAGGAGATGGAGGAACAAACCAGGAAGTAGGAGGCACGAAGGGACCAACCAGGAAGTATCAAGCAGGAAAATGGAGGGACCTACCCAGCCTGAAGGAGGTGAAATCCCCCACAAAGTCGACCCGGGGCTGAGTCCCGCGGGTCACCAGCCTGAGGGTCAGGAAGTTCCCGGTGGACAGAACCGGCCGGGGGGGGCTTTTTCCACAGAGAGGAGAACCGAGAGGAGGCGAGCTTCTGTCCGGACCATCGTAAAACTGTACGTATGATCCGGAATGACAGGGGTCCCCCTCCCCCCCCCCTCCGGGGGTCGGCTTTAGGGGGGGCGACTCGGGGAAGAAGGGGTCCGGGCTCAGGGGGGCCACCCTGAGGAGGCTGTAGACCAGGAAGAACCGGAAGTAGAACTGGACCTTGTCCTTCGGAGAGCTGGCTCGCATGGTGAGGTGGCAGTCCGTTCCCATGGTTACGAAGTAGTACTTCTTGGACTCGTGGTGCGAGTTGACGATCATTCCGTCGCTGTGCACGGTCTGGCCACAAAGGTCCACCACGTTCACTGACCAGAAAAACCACAGTCCCCACATAAGTCTGATCAAATAGTGTAATAAATCAACCAGGTTCATGCAACTGCACAAAAAGAATCTTTATTCACATTATCCACCACTTATTTTGAGCTAAATATATACATATAGTTTTATTTTTTATTTTTTTATTGATTTATTTTTATGTATATATCTATCTATATCAT